GCTTGACCTATTGTTAATTCCTTACCAAAAAACGGGAAATTAATTTAAAGTTTCCAGATTTTTTTTTCACACCACAGAGATCTAATATAACGCTCACTGTTTGCATTCAGAATTCACCTCAGTAACCATGTACTCACTATAACAGGAAGGCACCGTGGCATTAGGAAACCACACACCGCTGGGACCACACACGTATCTGGTGGGCGGGGCCTCCAGGAATTCATAGCCCTCGTCACAGTGTGGTGTGCATGCGTAACCGTGCGCCCACGCGAAGCACGTTAGGTGACCATTGATTGGATCAGCGAGTTTAGGACAGGCAGCTGGCCCTGGAATGTGGGGCAGATCTGATTTAATTCATGGGCCGTGATTGTCTCAATAAACAAACAAAAAATAAATAAATAAATAAATAAATAAATAAATAATGGATAAAACTGAAAACTAAAATTTATCAAAATAACTATGATGATAATTTAAAATGAATTACTGAAATGAAAACAAAATAAATAAATCAGATTTTCCAGTTCATAATAAACACTATTCTAACACCTTTTATAAATAAAATTGGGAGTTTCAGTCGCCAAAAAAGACCCAGGTGTATTTATCTCCACCATAAATTCTCTTTTTCACTAGTGAAGCTGGGCTCCGTATCTCGAAAAGTTCGCTATGTTGCGCACGTGCGCAACATAGAGAACCTTTCGAGATACGGAGCCCAGCTTCACTAGTGAAAAAGAGAGTCCGATCAATTAAATAACACCAAACAAACACAACACAAACACAATTGGTGTCACAATTTGACCACTTACGTGTTACACTGACAGTAAACCTGCAGATGGCGTAATTGTCGCTGTCGTCAGTGGCAAGATACGTCACAGTCGTGGTGCCAAAGGGGAACATTTTCCCTTCCGGTGACGTCACACGCACTGTGACGTTACCAGAGTTGTCTGACGCCACCGGGTCGGTGTAGTTGACAAGGACTCTGAAGACACCCTGGTCGTTGTAGATCGTTCTGGAAGCTGGACAGCCGCTGAATACCGGGTCTTCCACGTCTGAGAAACATGTGACAATAATTTTAAACCATTATTTTAGTAGGCTTTGATTCGAGATACAACGGCGGGAATCGTATATATAACAAGATAGACATTGCAAATGTTTAAGACCAAAACTTATTTTATTAAGTAGACAGCTATCAAATGTTATCGTATTTGCAAACATACATACGCTGATTAATTTTCATATCATTTACTAGAATTGCAAAAACATAGGGAAGACGTTACGTTAAAATTGACTGTCATTGTTGTGAGGACGTAGTGTCGTCTTTGGTATATTTTCCTTAAGTTCTGTGAAGCAATTTTGACATGTTTTTGCGTACACACAAATAATCCACATTTGATTACAAATAACATTTTGAAAACATTTGAATTTATTTATATTTTGACTATAGTTTATTCAATAAATTGCACCCCAAATATTAAGGTGTTAATAGGAAATTAAACTAAATTAACTCGAGAGTTTAAAACTAAATTATCCTTAATAAATTCTCTAAAAAGTGACTTAACAAATGAAAAACAAACTTATCTATAAAATTTTTGCTCTATTGTTCAGTTTTGAATGTTGGAACATACCTTTGACCTGGATGACAAATGCACACGTTGCGTTGTTTCCAGCTTCATCAGCAACGACATACTTGACTTGATGTATACCAATCGGTAAGTTGGCTATATTTGAGGGAGGACCGCTGATTACGGTGGCTCTCACATTGTCGGTGTATTTGACCTCTTCAAACGTGACCATTGCAAAGTCTTGGGTGGGAAGGGTTGGGACGGCGATGTTTCTGGAGCAGAGTGTTATCACTGGAGGTTCTGTGTCTGTAAAATACGGCATGAAAAGTCTGCATAAGATGTCTGCCTCGAGTTTGTTATACATGTATGTATATGTCTTATTGTATGTATCTTATTTTGGCGTCTTATTGTTTTTGATGTATTAATTTTAATAAAAAAGAGATAAATAAATAGATACCCTAATACACTGCTTTTGCCCGACTACCGTTTGAACTTTCGCATAACACATATGTAACGATAAGTAATGTTATAAGAAGAGGGCATCTTAATAATGGTGTCTGATAAAGTTATCTCTAATTTTTGTAAGTATTACCAATTAAAATTCAGCAACAGCATAAGTATAGATTCTAAAGAAACAAGAAAATATACAGAGAGCGCTGCATAACCTAAGTACACATACATATATATGAACTGTATTATTGTCATTTTTGTAATATACAACCTATCATTTTAATATAAACACTCTTTGAAACTAAATACCTCAACTGGCTAACATACCTATACATGTCTTCCCGTCCTTATCCAATGAAAAACCGTCTCTGTTGCATCCGCAATTGTAACCACCCGGATGATTAAAACAGAGCTCATTACAGCCACCGGAGTTGGTTTCGCATTCATTTATGTCTGAAATTTTAAAACGCGGGGATGTAATGTATATTTTTGTAGTGATTTCGCCGTTCCCTTATTCATTTGTTGCGTTTTTCAAATAAACTTTTTTGGTTGTTATTCACGTACGATAAAGAGAACATTTATCTGCGTCCTGAAAATAGCATTATAGAAATTCAAAAAATGATATGAAAAGTTACAAGTTCATCCTGAAGGCGTTTTTAGATCGAAAAGTAACAATAAATTTATGTAGACAAACACATTTTTTAAAATATAAAATAACTGTATTGTGTAAAACATCCTATGCGATTCCGTAAACGATTTTCGTGCATGAACTCTATTTTTGTTAAAATACACGACAAATGCGCAGCTCTCGAGAACTCCAGTTCTTTCAGTACTACCTTCACATCTTGTGTTCAGGTTTGTCCACGCTCCATTGTCCTGGCAAGTCATAGTGGCGTCCCCGATCATATTGAATCCTTGGGGGCAACTTTGTATGCACACGGAGTCCGGTTGGTAAGAAGGTTTGTCACAGTCGTTGGAGCCGTAGAGGGGGCTGGGAGGCTGAGGGCAGATATATGGCCGGGGATCTGGATTGTACAAATAGAACAAGATTAATTACTAGTGGGTGTGGCCCAAAAATATGATAAAAGAGTTTAAGAATCACAACTCATGATCCATAGTTGCCGTGTTATTTATAACCGCTTTGAAATTGGAATCGGTAAATATAGACTAGTTTATTTATTCTACAATAATTCAAGGGGCCATTTATTGAAAAAGGAAACAAGGCATAATTTGGATTACTATTTCCTTCAATATAAGGGGAAATTATGTGGGACGTAATTACCTGTATTGTCGCCAAACAAGTCCAATATACCCAGTGGTATGAGAGAGAGAGAGAGAGAGAGAGAGAGAGAGGGAGACGATTTATCATATCTAACCTATGTGCTAATCTACAGTTAACAGTCCTACCTATACATGATGTCCGGTTATTGGCCAGAATTTTCCCAGTCGGACATTCGCAGTGGTAGCTTCCTATTTCGTTGACGCAGATATCAGAACATGAATTCTGTCCGCTAGCACACTCGTCAATGTCTAAAATAAAAATACATACTGAGGTATAGGGTACCATGTTACCACACAACGACACTGGTCTTATTGGGCACATTCAGAACAAGTTGATCCGCGCACTAACACGGATCAAATATGGCGCCATCCATTCGAAAGGGTACCGAGATTTAATTGCCCTGCCCCTGCTTGGACGACACGTGGGAGGCGGGAATCCATTGTCAAATGTGCGCTGTATGCGACACGTACGCGGACTATTTAGTCCGCAGATCAACTTTGTTGTGAATGTATGGTATTACTCCTAGACATGGGCTACCGTGACAACAGAGCATGACGTTGCTTTTGGTACCATGACAACAGACCATGGCAGAGGTCACCATGACAGCTCCTTATGCCAAAATACACAATGCCATATATTATACCCTTGAAATCAACATATGACAAAAATACCATATTTAAAATTGAAATTCAGAAATCTGGACTTAATTAGTGATGAACATAAAGTCTGCCCGATAGCTCACTCCGTCACCTGTCAATATGCAAAATCACAAAAACGCACCGTGACATAAGGTTCCATGACAGTAGACAATACACCGTGACATAAAGAAGGGAGATGCCATGGCAACACACCAATGACATGCAGGTCAGGTACCATGACACATTTTTACGTCTAAATATACGCCTTACAACGGAATTTCATACTCTTGCAATCAATCCATGAATCAATATATATATATATAACTGAAATTGCGACATTGATCGTTTTATTTATTAATTATTTTTGAGATCATCGACTCACCAGAGCAGGTTCTCTTATCGTCATTGAGTTTGAATCCAGTTTTGCAGCTACATCCGGGCTCGTATGTGACGTTCTGCTGATTGCAGTAGTGCTGGCAGCCGTATGTGGCGCAGGTCCAGGTTTCTGGAAAATTGTTCGGTAAAACAAATAAAATATCTCTTACCATCTCTCTCTCTCTCTCTCTCTCTCTCTCTCTCTCTCTCTCTCATGACTTTGCCAATGATAGCGCGGAGTTGCGCCTTTCAGAATGATAGTCTAGTTTTACAAAAACAAACAAACAAACAAACAAACAATAAAAAATTACATTTCAAGCATTTCCACCTATAAACATTTCAAATATTAAATCTAAGTTTCATTTAAATATCGAACTTGAAAATCTACAAATTCTGATAGCAAAAAACCATAAAAAAGCTTACGCTTGCAAGTTTTCCCATCTGCTGTGAGATTGTATCCTTGACGACACGTGCACCGGAAGGAGCCCTCTGTGTTCAGACACGTCTGCTGACAGCCGCCATTGTTCACCTGACACTCGTTAAAATCTGAGTAGACAAAGAAAAAATGGTGAAATGGAGACGGAAAATACGTATTGAAAATGTGTTTTAACGATTGGTTGAAAAATACTGTTAAATACAAGAGGGCTATTTTTGTCATCATAATAACATGAGTATACGTATATGTAGCAACCGATAGCCATCAATCGTTTTACTTCAGTTAGTGTTCAGAAAAGTCTCACTACGGGGCGGGGGAGGTAAAATGTCGATTTTTTTAAACATGGCTGATTGAAAGATATTAGCAGAAATCGGAAGCTTGTTCCTTTAACCACAATTAAATATGTTTTGTCCATTTAGTGTGGCCATCAATTATTTCACTTGGTGACAACTCAAAATAAATAGATACATGCAAATTAATAATGCTTAGTTTTGTATTGTAACAGGAGAAGACACTCACCTCTGCCCTCACAATAATAAAGGAACGCTATCTTCCTCTTGTCAATACTGGTCAACTCGTCGGCGGGGTCAATCTTCTCGCTGGTCTTGCTCTCTAGTGTTGGCTTTCCATTTTTAGAGAACGCTTTCCTCGAGTAGTGCATCACACTGTGATAATCGTACGGCAACTGTTGTGTGGTACTGCCCCTTGCTATGTTAAAGTTATGCTGCTTTCCTGAAAGACATGCAGTACAGTAGAAATAATTTTAAGTCAAAATTTTTTTAAAGTATGCTTACAAGTTATTTATACCGTAAATGTCATGCACCGTTAAAACATCTTATAATATGTTTAAAACCAGGACTTTGAGGATCTCTGGAATGCAATAAAGGAGAAATATGCCAAGATGTTTAAACATATTATCATCATCCTTTGCCCTTTGGAGGAATGGCAGCAGCAACGGCAGAATATTTAGAGAAGTGTTTTCACTCCTTCATTGTTGAAAGGATCTCATTTGTTCGCAGACCAGTAACATGCCGAGGTTAAAGAATTTAAAGTTATGCTAAGTCTGTAAATGTCATGCACCTTTAAAACACCTTAAATGTGTTTAAAATCAGGGGCTGAAGATCCCTGGGATTTATAAAACCTCATAAGACAGCTGTTGACTGTCATATCTAACGTAACGTTTCGATTCACCATCTACGACCCTATCAGTGACCATACAAGGTCTTTTAACAGGTAAAATCATTACGACATCACGTGGTTTTCACGTGATACTAATCCGATGTTTCTACTGGTTCACATGCCGCTACCTGATTTGACATTCTGAAATAATACCCGGATGTAGGTGTCTCTATCAGGTCTGGACTGCTCGTGCCAGAAGCCAATGGCGTGCATCATTTCATGGATGACGATATCTTTGTAGTAACAGCCAGAGTTCTGAAGGTTGATGATTTGTTTTCTTCCTGTTCTGCCTATGGAACTGTAGCACCTGTCGATAGGGACAATCACTATTAGAAAATATAACAGGTATCTGGATGAAAGAGCTTCCAGTAAAAACTTTCTAAAACAATAAAAAATAATTTTTGAAGACTAACAGAACGTTTTTGGTTTTCGTTTTTGGTAAGATGTGAATTTCTTCAATTAATGACTTATTCTTGTCCTTACTGGCCTTTTAAGCGACAGCGCATTGCAGAAAATCGTTGAAGTTCAGTTCGACCATTTAGACTAAATACATTTTTGTTTTTTAGGAGTTTTTACTTTATCTAATTATTGGATCCGTCGGCACACTCAGTAATGTCGTTACTTTTATTGTTTCCGGGCACAATCAAGGCTGCCAGTCTATGGCATAAAGCTCCGATTATTCATTTTGGTCACGACTGTGGGCGATATTGCGGACACCAGGACCATAACTTACCCTTGATTGGCTGAACTGAAGCTGACGTACGCGTTCTCGTTTGTTCTCGGGATAAACCGGATACATGTGAACCGATTGTAATCTGCGATGGCTGCACTAATGGCTCGTCTGCCCTTTGAAGCTGTAAAACGAGGGGGAAAAAATGATGTATATGTACATTTGAGGACATTTAAAAGGGATTATATATATATATATATATATATATAGAGAGAGAGAGAGAGAGAGAGAGAGAGAGAGAGAGAGAGAGAGAGTATAAACGCAGTGACAAACATGTATACTTGGGCCGGGAACTCGTTCATCAATAAATTTTCTGCATGTCATAAAATTTGAAATCTACTACAATGGAAACAAAGTGTTGCGAAGAATTTTTTAAACATCTAAATATTTTCAAATATTGAAATCAGTTTTCCCCGTGAACTCTCGAGAATTTTCGAGAACTCTTCTACGTACCCACATTACCCTCGATAACGTACGGCACAACTCCTTTTGTCCATTTCTGATTGAAATTTCTGATGGCATTTCTGGAGCCCTGCAATAGGAAAAAAGCTGTTTAGGTGCCTACGCAGGGTGCTATTTCTCATTAAGTTATTTGTTACCATCAGTGTTTTCATGTTTTCACCTCTTATCATCTCATCATACCGTAAAATATGTATTTTGGGTTCTAAATATATAAACTAATATTATTATTATTATTATAAGTGCAACACTCACCGTCGGTAAAACAATATCTCCCTCAAAGTTATCTGTAAAGAAGAATCACGATGTCAAATGTTATTCACACAGCAAAGAAAGCTTATGCCAAATCACTGGTAACTGCTCACACGTACAGTATGCTTTATTGGGTGTTGTAAGAGCCATTCTTTTGATTTTCAGCAAAAAAAAAAACTCGTTTTACATAATTTTTAGTTTTACACCTTGAGGCGGTCGCCGGGGCAGGTAATGCTAGTTTATTAATTTAGTTGCCACCTAAGCACAGACATTCAACCTGGTAGTATATGTATTCTACCCTCTACCAGGGTAACAGATATTATACATGTAGGTACATTTTCCACCAGTTAGAGGATTGACCATATTTAGCCAGAGACATTATATGTGAATGTCTAGTGAAAAGTCAATCTGTGGCCCTGGTAGAGGGTACTAGTATTGCACTGTCTGGGTGGATGTATCCGTGTGATGAAGGTCCATGTGAATTAACTGAACACAGGGAAACATTCAATTTCCGTAAACCGACATTTCAGTTCCGCGAGTAAAATGCGAACACACTAAACAAATGAAGTTTATATGACAATTAGATGATGTTTCCTGGAAACTTTTACATGTAGCTGCACAGAATAGGTCATTTTTCCACTGACACACATTTCAAAAGTTGACGTTGCTGTTCTGGAAAACTAAACAAAACACGTTTATCGCACTCACCTCCGTATAACGCTGATAGCCTTTCCTCCTCTGAAAATACGAATGATAAAACATTTAAAACATATTCATGACACAGATAATAAGTTATATCCATTAAATACTAAACAAGAGTCGTATCAAATAATAGTCCTATTCATTGGGGCGCATTTCAACGACAAGTCCTGATACAGCTGGATAATAAGATAAATCAATTAAATACTTAAAAAAGAGCCGTATCACATTACAGTCTTGGGCACAGGGTCATATTTCAGCGACTTTGAGCGGGTCATTGTTCATTACATGAGCCTGCATGTCTTTCTCCTCTCTCGTGGCGCAACAATGACAAGCATGCAAGCCTTTGTTTAAAAAAAATAAAAGAGAGAGAGAGAGAGAGAGAGAGAGGGAGAGAGAGGCAAACATTTAGTCTCGTTTGAACCAAGATAAGTTTCTATTGGTCCAATTGAATGAAATTTTAAAAACAGGAAGCACGTGGATGGCGTCTCAAACCAACAGTTACCCAATTAAAATAAACGTCTAAGGATTTATTCTGAAGTTGACTAAATTTCCGGTATTAAATAACTGCCAAAATTCGGACTAATATCCATTTGCGACACCAGAGCCAGGTGAAATTTCCTTGGAAATCCCGTCATGCCCCCCTCCCCCTCCCCTGTCCAAGTATCTGGATGACATGGAAAACAGGACTGTCATTTGAGATTTATGTTTGTGACCCCAAGTCCCATTTGTCGTGACTTGTCAAACAATAGAAAGAAAAAAGTGCCTTAAGTTTCTTTTTCAGCAGATCGTGTGTTAACGTGGCGATATCCGGGCCTGTCAGATAGTTAATTCTCTTGCAGGATGCATTTAGAATCTAAAATCTATTTTCGTCCGGAAGTCAGAGGAAATTACTCTATAATCAAATAAACTGACAGAGCTCACAAGCTTAATTGTTCTTAATATGATGATAATTTAATTGAGCACTAAAATGTTTTTACAGTTACACTGACAGGCTCTCTATACACTAACGTTATCACACTTATCATTATTATAGGCCTACATGTATATCAACTTCACAAATTCGAGTTACAAAAGGAAGAAAACATCATTACAAAAGTGAAGTAGTGGGTCTATAACAGGTACTTGCACATTTTCAATTGAAATACATAGTTTGAATATTGAATGATGAACCCTACACTCACCTTCTGTGGCTCTTGTGTGTCGCGTTAATTTCTCTTCAACTTCCTGTAAACGATATAAAGAAATCATGATTTAGTTGTCTGACTCTCAGGGTGTAACAGCTGTATAATGACGTAAAAATAGTCACTTCCTGTTGCCCGACTCCCAGGGACATAGAAAAATCATTTTTTGCTTAGCATTTAGATTTGTCGGAAGAATCTGTTATAACTTTATGGATTGTCCGAGTTCTACCTTATATCGGTAGTGTTTTTCTACTAATTTTAATTAAAATTATTATTATTATTATTATTATTATTATTATTATTATTCAACACCATTGTCAGTCTTCTACAGGAATATTCATTGAATGTAACGTGTGCTCGCAGCAGGAAAAAATTAAAGGTGAAGGAGCTATCCTAGCTTTTAACTGCCCAGAAATGATGTGGCTATTGCGTATGTGGTTATTCCTTTATTCATTTCTTTGTGATCATAAATAATTCATAAAATAAATATCCTGAAGTTGCAGTTTAGGATATTTTGGGACGCACGCCTGTCTTATTTCTCTGTCGCAAACATACAGTGTATGTCATTTATTTACAATAGATGTCTTCTCATGCATTTATTCATCTATCACTCTAGAAATGCGTGAATTCTCGTGCTCGAGTTTGAATAATTGTGCACACAAGTAAAATATCTGGCTGCACGCAAAAGAGTCGCCGTATATAATGCTTCTTTTTCAGAGAAGTGAAAAAAAGTCCATTCAGTCCATTGCTATAAGAGCGAAGACATTAACAACCGATCTGGTAGCTGAAAAGCTTAATATGTGTATGTATAAACTACAGGTGCAAATAAAATGGATTATCTAAAGCCGTTATGCGGTCATCATGAAAACAGCTCATTTGAGTTGAGTGTTCATTTCTAATGGCACGGACCCGCTAATGCGCGTGGACGTATTAGGTCGCATTCAGAACAGTGCATGGACTATCTAGTCCGCGGGTCAAACATGTAAAAGGCTTGCGGTCTAATCTGCTAACAGACACTGAATAGATCCCCCCCCCGGGGGAAGTATTCAAGTGGGTCAGCCATATTTAACCCTCGCACTACTTAGTCCACTGTTCTGAATGCGACTTTATTTATGCGTTAACTATACGGAAGCGCGGGAAACGAGACACATATGCCGGACAAAATAGACAAATTAGTCTATATTATAGGCCCCTACTGTGTCCATCCCTATAGTTCCGTTACTATTAAAAGGCCAATGGTATATCCATAATTCAAGAAGGCAAAACATTTGCGGTAAGCTCGTCACACCCACGTCATTTGGAATGTGATAATAGTTCTCTATGTTTAAAAGATAAAACTGAATACTGCCTCTCGATTTGTCTACTTGAGTGATTAGGGAATAACAGACCGTACTTCTACAGCTTGCTGGAGGATCCGTTTTTAACGAAGTTTTTTCTCTGTCTAAAACTGCAAACACCATGCAAGCACATCTCGTATACATAAAGTAACCTAGCTGATTTCAAGTGTGATGAAATTTACAGTATACTGTCTAGCACATGTTGATAAAAATATTGTTTTTTTTTTACTTAATCAGTTCTACACATAATTGGGCGTAAGCTTTCACATGTAAAGAAGCTAGCTTACAATTTCTCAGATAGCAAACAGTGGTCGCGCCGACGGCGGCCCGACGACTTCGCCTCCGTCGGGTCAACGTTGGCAGCCGACGTCGGCTCCGGCTCGGTGTGTCTGGCGACTTACAGTCGGCCTACCAGTGGTCTTCCACCCTTTTGCCAACGTCGAGCAGAAGTTGAAAACCGAGGGCGTCTCGATAGTCCGAAGGTTCATTGGTCCGAAGGTTCATTGGTCCGAAAAGTGGTCACATTTTCATCGATTTTTTAATCAAGGGTTCATTGGTCCGAAGGTTCTATAGTGAATATTCGGACCAATGAACCTTCGGACCAATGAACCTTCGGACTAACCTAGCTTTAAACGCTGCACTTTGCAAATTAATACTAGTGTCGGAGAAACGTTCGGACTTCAATTTTTACTTTGCCTGGGAAAAAAAGGAGTATCATTATCTGTGAACATTTTAAGATAAAGCTTAATAAAGTACATCTCTCGGTTTCTGTTTCTTTTCCTACCTCCAAAGGAAGAGCGTCGGATCTGCCAGTTACGCCACTCAACGCGATGGCGAAAACCAAAAATCCCCCAAGGGAACGAAGCCACAAAGGCCCCGGCGTCTTCATTTCAACACATTTCATGTTCAACGTTTCTCTTTGCTGTGGTCACCGTTCACGTTGATCCAGCGGTTTTTAATTCACCATAGCGGAAACCCGAGCGTGCCGGATACGAAGCCGGATGTTTTTAGTTTTATATTTATGCACTCGTTAGATTGTATGGTTTTCGTGCGATCATCCGTCTATAAATAGCTCTCGCGTGATGAGGTATTGAAATTAAATTCTTCTACATGGCAAGGAGTGGGTCGCTTCTTTATTATGTATGAAAATGGAACTTTTAAACGGTAAGAGGCGTGAAATTTCGTGTGAAAATAATTTCGCAATAGCGATTTTTTTTTGACGTTTTTGTTCATCATGAATAATACAATAGGCCTATTTTAGATCAGTTGTTATCAGGGCCTTCCGTTCTAACAACAAGTTTGACTGATTTCAAGCAATGAGAGGGCCAAGTGTCGGTAGGCTCAGAAATTCGGGATGCAAATATAATATAATATAATATAATATAATATAATATAATATAATATGTAACCCTAAGAAGACCTGAAGTTGTGATAATGTCGAAAGTCGTAATATCCGGTAGCCTACAACGTGATAATTATTAGTATACGAATTAATATTTTCAGTACTTTACTACGATACCTTGTATGCAGTGATGGTATATACTACAAGTGATGGACTTAGCACAGCGACCTCTTGTGGGCAACTGTCGGTGATCACCCTGAACTTTTCAATCTAAGGAATAGGTAAACTAGCGATCGTGTTCCGGGAATGCTGTCTAAAATAAGATTTAGCCCCATTTAACGGAGTATTTCACCCGTTAAAAACCACGATATATTTTTGTTTCATGTGTATCACCAGACTGTTTTAAAAAATATATATATAATACTAGTTCTAATGTACCGTAGGCCCAACCATGAAATATGGGAATGGGAGGGCGGGGTTGAATTTGAAAAAAAAAATGCCGAACAAAAAAGTATTGTACGAGGATAATTTTACCGTATTTGTTTAGTACAGGGAAGGAAAACTGAATGAATAAGTCTCATCTTGTACGTTTTTACTGTTGTGGGAGGAAGAGAAGGATAACTCCCCACACACCCGAAACGGGAGAGGGGGGGGGGAGAACGTGGCCTATTGTGCCCCCTCCCCCCAGGATACGAATTTACGGGTATATTTTACGCCAAGAATTAGCCTCGTTCCTTCTTGTGTTTAAATATTTCTGATTGATTATTTAATTATAATATAATTTTCTGAAGCAGGGATGTGAGGCATCTTTTATACAGCAGACTTCACATAACACAGACACTTTGGGGCTAGAAAATGATTCAGTTACGGAAACATTTGAGTTAAGAAATGTTCGCAAGCTACAAGTGCTCAACTAAAACCAAAGGAAAAAAATACGTTCAACAAGATTTGCTCAAGATAAACAATCATTGAGATTAAAATTTCAAAAAGGGTCGCGTCATGTTGAATCTTTTGTACCTACATGTACAATATACATGGAAGACAACTTGAATAATAATTTCAAACGAATATTAGCATTAAACTTTTTTTTTATTTCTATCATGTATGCACATCATTTACCATTACAACTTCGAATTTATTTTGACACGGTTTTAACAATTTCAAAACTGTCAAAAGAATAAAGACAACAAACAATGTAGCAGCAGTGCTCTTCTCAGGCGCATCAACCACTACAGTTGCTGCCTTATATACAAACACGAACAGTCGTTTAATTAGAACACGTTCTCTCTTCTTTTATATTTCGCAGCACTCGCTAGATGGCGCTGCTATCAGCACTCGCTAGATGGCGCTGCTCTCAACGCAACGTAAGCACACGGCAAACTATTAGTGCTGCCACCGTATGCATTTTCGTGAAAACCGTTCTCGAACATAACGTCACTATCGAAGTAAAGAACAGTGTCGTCTGCAACAATTGCATAAGCCACCATTTCAAACCGTTCTCCAGCACGTCCCTAAATACTACTTCCATTTCTCCCGCAGTGAAAATAGTCACAGTAACAGTAATCGCCCGTACATTTCATGCACCTAACAAATTCTGACAGAATATCTTAACAAACTTTCAGCGTCTCATTTTAAGTTATTAACGGACACATAATTCCTTACGTGAGCATTGTTCATTTTACTAAAAGTCTGACCCAACTTATTCAGGTATTATAAGCACTACCCACAGTTATGGCAAAACTTTGACAGCTACTTGCTTCTCATCAATCACCAAGCACTTGTGAAGCCAGACAGGCGTTTTAGGTGAAACTTATGCAGGTCCTTCAGTCAGCACGCCTGTAATACCTGACGAGTTTCCAAATTTTCTGTAAATTAATTTTTGTTTGAAATGAACGAGTAACTGTTACAATAATGGCATCAGTGGTGATATACTGTCACGTGTCCAACAGAGTTTTATTATTATTTTTCTACACAATCATAACATTCCTCTGGTAAGTATTCCCACTGGTTGCTTCAGGCCCTCCACTGTGATGCCTTGCTGGGTCCAGTATCTCTTACTGATCTCCACCAAACTCTGAAATTATCACAAACAAGGGAACAATGCATTTATTTGAAAAGTTGCTGCAGTTCTTTAAACCAACAAATGGTAATTTGAAATTTTGCCTCACCCAACAAGCTCAATCAAATTCTTCAATTTTCAATTGACCAATTTTTTCTAATAATAGTAGTTATACTTATAATTTATAGTCTAAACTCTGTTATAAAATCTTTATGAAACATTACAAGTATTAAAATAGAATGTCAAATAAATCAATATTGAGACTGTTTAAAAAGAAGAACTAAAAAAAGTCAAATCCAAACTTTTAAAATGACAAGAGGTTTGCATAAAGGTCTGTCTAAAATGATACCATTCATTTCTTTTATTGTTGTATTTCTAATTATCTAAAACTGTATTTAGGATTAAGATTGTGTCCTGAACAATTTCCTGGTATTTTCTAAACATCATTTGATGAAACGCCAACTCAGAAATAAACAAAATGTATGCCCTTTTCAAGACCACCTGTTTACTTATCTTTATGTACTAAAGTGAATGCCGGTTGCATTCCTTTCATTTTGACTTAGTATAAATATGCAATTGTTGCACAGGGTCATTCATTTATATGCAAACAGGGTCTGTTGGGACTACAGGCATAATTTCAGGCTATCAACACAGAAAATATGTGAGTTCTTGACCACAAAATTTTGTGGCTGTCCATTTTATCTTCACTTTACAAACCTCAAAGGTCCTGGGTTCGTAAACAGCCAGCGTGACTAACATGTTTCTGTCCAAGTGTATGTTTAACTAAAATGGAAAAAAAAATTATATATACAAGTATGTGGTTTGCAGATAAAGAGTTATTTGTTACAACTTATTTGTTACAATTATTAATGTTTGCACCAGTATTTGTATTGAAATTGCCAGGGTGTGCTATGCTAAATACCATTCACAGAATTAACATCCACAAACTTTTTTTAGATCTAAGTTTCTAGTTTTTGAGGCACTCTCATCACAAAGAAGGAGAAAATAAAGAGAGGAAAAGCAGGTTTACAGCTTATAATTCTTTCAATGGTATAACATGGTGCTAATTTAAGAGTGATTATTGCTAAAAAATCCAGGAAAATAATTATCTTTAATGTGTTATTATTATTATTATTATTATTATTATTATTATTATTATTATTATTATCAGGTTTACAATGGGCTAACTTGTGTTGTATGCCTGTAAGCTATTTTACTAAATCAAAACTTATGTCCAAGTGTGGTTATAAAATGTACCCTTGAAAGTGCCTCGAAGAAGTCCTTAGCTCCAATCCCGTGTTCAATGCATGCTGCGTTAAGACGAATGTGCCACAGCTGAAACCACAGAAACAACATGTTCAGTTACTGAATCCAACAGAGAAGAAAATTATAATGAATTATTGAATTTATTGTGACAACTGATTCAAATGTTGCTGTGACAGAAACAACGAATTTTCATTTAATTAATAAACCATCAACATGTTGAGTTCACAGAAACAATTGTATAAATTTAAAATCAAAATGCTGCATTCACAGAACCGTCTCACAGTGCATACTAAGAAACAGCTTATCAAAATACCTCAATCACAGCTGCATTGACAAACGCAGCTCATCACAATGCTCAATTCAGAGTAACAATGACCTTGAAATCTGTATTCAAAGCCAAACCTTACAATAAGAAAAAAGAAGTCTAATGCCTATGCTTTACCTGTCGCATGACCTTCTTTTTGTCCCGTCGCCCTCTCATGGCGTGCTGTAGAGCCTTCTGTGCATACCTCACTGCGATGGTGTAACAATTTCTCTTGCGACCAAAGTAATGCTGGAAGGAAAACATAAGTTTATGACTGCGTGGTTGACACTTGCCTCAGTTTTAGAATGTCTGTGGTGCCGTTAACATGCACATTACACCACAATGTGACTTAACCCAGTCCAAGACACTTAACTAGCAAAAATGAATCTAATAGAGGAGACAGGATTGTGCCGGAAGTGACGTGTAGTGGCTGGGGTAGCCCTAACACTCGCCAGTTTAGCCAAATGCTAAAACTGACTTAAATTGGCTTAAGAAAAAGGGCTAGATTTGACATGTTTTAGCCAAATTATAACCATTTTGATAACAAATTGACAAAAATGTGGTGATTTGGCTAAGCAAAAAAAAAAAAAATTCCTAGTGCTAGCCCAGAGTGGTGTGTAAGGGTGCTTTCCCAGAGATTTAGATCGATCTAAAGATTAAGTTTTAGATCGACCTAACTCCCTGGGGGTTCACGCTAAATTGCAGTCAGCCGAGCGGGCACCATAGTTAATTACCCCCTTACAGCTTTTAGTAGGCGGGACAGACGCTTAAGCTGGCCAAGTTGACAGTAATCTAGTGAGACTCCCCACAGGGATAGATCGATCTAAAAATCTATGGAAATGGTGTGTAATAGGTGCATAACTGTGATATTACATGTGCTGGACATATGTTATAACCATCTCAAACTTAATCCTGTCTCCTCCAGTTCATTTTATTGCAAGTAAACACAGGTAATAGTCATGCGCAAGAAAACAGGACAATGTAAACGTGAAATATATTACTAAGAAATAAATATTGTTGATACAACTTAAAAAATGGGCAAGGCTTGTTTGGCTCGTTGAGTCATCTGCCATGTTGGTGAGTGGCTCTTCTTGAGAATATGATCTGACGTTAAAAACAAACAGTTCCAATTTGCATCAAGTTCAACAACATTTATTATCTTTGAATAAATTTCCTTTTCATATCACCCCATTTCCAAGGGAATGACCGTCGTTTCCTATGTTTTCTTGGGAGTGTACTGGTGTTTTCTAGTGGATTGTGCTGTATTGCGCATTTTTGGTAGACCTTTTTGCATTAAAAATTGAAAACTGAGGCAAGGATGGCACAACTAGTGCCAAAAATATTAAATATTCCCCTTCCCCCCCCCCCAAATAAATAAATAAATAAATAAATAAATAAATAAATAAATAATACTTTCAAAAGGTCGACAGGAAGACTTGCACTTTGACAGTTTGAAGCAATTTAAACAAATTAACTTATTTCTTAACTTGAAGCCTCATGTCTAAGTTTATCACTCGGGCAACGCGCAAAGTAACTTACCGCCGTAAGTCTAAAGATTTGCTGCCTTCCCCAGTATTTGTCTGCATGCCGAGTTCTTCCCAAACAGCTTGCAGTAATGTGAACCATGTTTATGGGCACCGAGGTGGACTCAGGGCCAAGGAATCTTTAAATAAATTTGTCTGTTATCAACTCGGGAGCAACCAAGGGCGCTGACATTATTTTATTGCATTGTGGGAAATCTGTTAATAAATATCCAAGTTGCTTCTTCAGACCAAAACTATAAACTTTACATCAAGGATTATGAAAATATAGAACAATAAATTTTTAAAGAAAAAAAATCTAAATTATTTAAATCAGACTCATTTTACGTCACATTACCAGTCACGTGACTTAAAGTGTCTACTGCTCTAACAACATGGCCGAGGGGAAGTGAGTATTAAAACTTCCTTGTAAATTTTAACTGTTTTATGTCGTTTCTGATTGTTATATCTAGGTGACAACTGAGTAATGAAGTGATCAGACACGTTTTTATGTCCCTGAAACGTCCAGTTTGCTTATGCTGATGTCGTGGAGTTAGAATATTAAATCGCCAGCATTGCATTCCTCGTTCGTTTCCACCGGCGAGGTGAGTTAGGGGTCAAGTTGAAGATTTGTCGAGCACAGTCCGTGTGTTTGCAGTGCGTGATATTGCTATTTGTTTGTTTTATGAGTGTTAACAATGCCTTAGTTGCTGAGACTTTTCAGCTAGCGATTTTTTTTAGCAAGAGATGGCACAATCCTGTCGTTTATAATTGCTGAATCACGATTTCTTTACTAGTGTACATGTATCCTGTAGCATATTACTGCAGTACCAGAGCATAATTTAACTGAACTTTATTTATGGATTGTCATTAACATTTTACAGAGAGTTTATCATACCGTGCCATCAGCAAATATTCCATTAAGATATAGATAATTTATTAGTGAATCTTCCTATGGCTAGAATGCATGAATACTATAGGTATACTAGTACATGTACTAGTAGCTGGTCATTTTTTTTTTTCAAAGTCTGTGGTGAGGCAGATTTTCAGCTAAGGGTAATCTGTGAATGGGCCACACAAGTAATTATAAATACACATGTCCACTAGCAAGTTTTATATCCAAGAACACCACCCAACTTGATTGAGCAAATTTTCTATCTTGTCGCACAATTGAGATGTTGTATTGGCAACAAAGAAGGCACTGGTGTGTGTAATTACTATATGGACAGTATGCTTGAAATCATGCCTTAGAATTAGTATTTCACATTCAGATAACTTGATGAAATTTTTGATCTCCTTTCAGTTAGAGAGGCTGAGAGGAATCTTGTATCCTAGTTGTGATTTGATGCTTTTATTTGTGCCACTTTGTGTCAGGAGTGTAACACAATACTTTTGTACATATTCCAAATCCGTGGTATCACATCTGTGTGGTTTTATTGGCAAACACAATATGTGTGTTACTTCTGTGTAAGTAGTAAGTCACGACTGCACTCAGTGGTAAAATGAAAAGTGGACAGGGAATTCACAAAGAGCTAGGGCCCTGTTTCAGCCTTTACTACAGGAGTAAACTCAGGCCTGTAGTGAGGGGGGGGGGGGTCATTGGGTTGGAAATAACCCTCCTTTTTGCTAAGAAAATGCCCCCTCTGGGTATGATTTTATTAAAGTACTAGTACCTGAAGGTTTCATGGTAAAAGGTCAACTTTTTCAGAAAAAGCCCCCCTTTGAAATTGGTGGCCAAGTGCCCGAAACTAGTAGACTTCATCACTGGTGGGGGTGGGGGTGGGGAGGTTACCTACTGTAGTGGCACCAGAGGTTATGTTTTGATCACTGTAGCCTGCCAGGTCCTAGACATTGATGCAATATTCAGAATTCCTTTTAGGTTTACAATTTACAGTAGCTTTGTATAAGTAAGCTGAGATTTGATAGCACCCCCACATACATAAAGCTTCTAAATTATTATTATTATTATTATTATTATTATTATTATTATTATTATTATTATTTCAGAGCAGATATAGCCTTGATTGGGCTGGCCGTGATGGGCCAGAACCTTATCCTTAACATGAATGACCATGGCTTTGTAGTAAGTTATATTGTTAAATTATTGTCTTTTTGTTAGGATAAGGTTATAGATTGTGAAATCATAAATGCAATTATCCTATTTTTGAAAGTGCCAGCCGTGGGATAATAAGTAGTACCAAAACTTATTTTGATATTCATTTAAACTCCTCACTAGGTGTGTGCATTTAACAGAACAGTGGAGAAAGTTGATACTTTTCTGGCCAATGAAGCTAAAGGTACTAAAGTGATAGGAGCGAAGAGTTTGGAAGAAATGGTGAAGACGTTGAAGAAACCGCGCCGCGTCATGATGCTGGTGAAAGCTGGGTCTGCAGTGGACGCCTTCATTGAGAAGCTGGTCAGTACAGTTAGTGGGATGTTAGGTTGTTACTTGTACATACATTATACACAAAAAGAAAAGAAAAGAAACCTTGAAATATCAACGTTTTCCTTTGAACACCAAGGCATACCCTTCCCAAAATTAAAATGAGTATCTTAAAACTTTAATTTAAGTTCTGAGTTACTGATGTCAGAGAGGCAGCACCACTGTTCATCTTCATTTAAATTTGTGATAAGTGTATTGCTGAGTTTTTTATTTTATTTATTTATTTTTAAGAGTTCTGCAATAGAGTACTAAATAGCATATAATGAAGAGGAAATTGCTGATATTAAAAACAGATTATATAGATAAAGAAGTACGGTTGACTTTACTGCATGCTTTTAAAGTTTCCCTTACACACACGATAGGTACCAGTATATCCAAAACTGTTGAGAAAATAATTAATTATATAAGTGTCAATATTTCAGGTACCGTTACTGGAGTCTGGAGACATCATCATAGATGGAGGAAACTCAGAATACACTGACACAAATGTGAGTTTGACTTTTTGAAAAAATTAAATAAGATAAATTTAAAGTCATCAGGATACAGGATGTGTATCATAACATTTCTTTTTTTTACATTAACTGTATTTCCTCAAGCATACTTTTCCTTCGGGCCCAATTTACAGTACATTTAAGCAAAGTGTATATAAGACTCACCATTGTCTATGTAGAGAGGGTAAAAATGTGTATTCATATGTGTTTTTTCAAAAGATGTTTTCTTTAATTTATTTATTTTATTTGTGATTATTATTATTATTATTATTATTATTATTATTATTATTATTTCTTTGCTCAGAGGAGGTGTCGCAGCCTCAAAGAGAAGGGAATCTTATTCGTGGGCAGTGGTGTCAGCGGTGGGGAAGATGGCGCCAGATATGGTCCTTCCCTAATGCCAGGGGGCGCGCCAGAGGCTTGGTAAGCATTGACACCATACTGGGTTTTTACCTCAGTATCAAGACAAAGTCAACAAGAGTGAAGTTTTTTTTTTCAATATTCTTGTATTCATTTAAATATTTGTTAATTGGGTTTTTGTTTCTTTGGCAAGAGGGTGTCAGCTAATCTTTTACAGTGTAGTTATTCCCTGCTTGGGTAAGGGGAACAGTTGCATGATTTCCAAAAAACTCCAGGTGAGCCCAAATCAGAAAACGAGCATACTATAAATGATATAAAATATTTCCAGTTATCATGAAGTTGTTTATATTATCCCAGTATTTATTTATCTGATATAATGTGAATTCCAGGCCTCACATTAAGCCCATTTTCCAGTCCATTGCAGCCAAAACAAATGGCGAGCCGTGCTGTGATTGGGTGAGAAGTTTTTTTTTATTCATTTTTTCACCTTTTTTTCTTTGTAATTCTTTAAGATGAATGTTTTGCTTCTCAAAGTACATCTTTGTGAGCAACCAAAATAATAAAATCTTGAAAAAGTAAAATTAAAGAATAAGAAAGATGCTTAATTTCTTGAATAAGTTGAATTTAAGAATAAGAGAGGTGTTTAAATTCTTGAAAAAGTAGAATTCAAGAATAAGAGACTCTGAAGTGTTTGACACAGTTTAATAAGTAGTTGTTGTACACATTTCTATTCTAGGTAGGAGAGGAAGACGCCAGTCACTCGGAAGTGTTTGACGCAATTTAATAAGTAATTGTTGTACACATTTCTGTTCTAGGTAGGAGAAGAGGGCGCCGGTCACTTTGTGAAGATGGTCCACAACGGGATAGAATATGGGGACATGCAGTTAATTTGTGAGGCGTATCACCTGATGAAGGATGTCTTAGGGATGAGTCACAATGAAATGGCTCAGGTAAGAGATACACGTAACACCTTGTCTTCTGGAATCTTTTGAATAATTAAAATTTTGGATAAATGTGGACTTAACTGTACATGTTGGTCTTATAAGAATATTTTTTCTTCATGTGATGAATTGTCTGGTTTATTTTTTACTGTGGAATTTTTGGTGTGGTTAACTCTATAAAAAATCATTAAATTGTGATTGGCCTATTTTTTGGTCAGATTGCAACCTTTTATATTGATTTATTTTATGTATTGAAATTGATAATAACCTTTTTTTTTTCTTTTTTTTTTCAGTCATTTGATGATTGGAACAAGGGTGAACTTGAGTCTTTCTTGATAGAAATCACCAGAGATATTATGAACTTCAGAGATGAGAGAGGGGAGGTCTTGGTAGAGAAGATACTGGATTCTGCAGGACAGGTAATAAACTGTTTTGAAACTGCACGACCTTACAAAGAAAAAAAGGTGAAAAAAAATGTAAGGTGGAAAGTTTTCTTTTCTAGTTGCAGTGATTATTCGGTCTTTTCAATGGAAATTGTGAATTTTACAGATACTTTATGTATTAAGTCAAAATTTCTTAAAATTAAAACATTCTGTTGAGGTGGTAAGAGCAAAATTAAAAGTCAGAATAACCTATAGTATTGTTCTTTGCAGTGAAAGCACCATTAATGCTATATGGAAATATTATTTTATGATTGTGAATTTATGTATCTGCAAGTTTGATCATTTTGGCCAATCAAAAATGTCAAGTAATTACCGAATGTTTGACATTAATTTTTGGTCTTTACTGGTCCACTAACTGTTGGTGTGTAATACACAGAGCAAAAATTTAAATGTCCCATATGAATTATATATGTAACATGTAATGGGTAAATCCTAATGAGCTGATGTTGTCTTATATACATGTATTGTAGCACATTGAACAGCAAAATTCACTTAGTATCTTTTAATTTATGTATAATCCATAATGCTGATAAAGATTTTCAGGTACTTGGTATTGCATGGGGTATTTATGTATTTGAACAGTGTATTATAGCCATGTCTTTTAAGAGAACTGCATAGATGAAGACAGGAGTATATCTTTTTTTTTTTGCTGTTTGTAAACTTTTGTGACTAAAATGAAACAGTTATAGAATACGATTCATTATTTTAATTGAACTATTCCAGAAAGGCACAGGAAAGTGGACGGCTATTTCAGCCCTGGAGTACGGAATGCCGGTCACTCTGATAGGTCAGTATGGTCAGAGGTTTTGAAATGGGCTACTTATACACTTATGAATTGAGTAACCATCAGTGCTGGAATTTTGGCTTGTGACCTTAACAAGCAATTATGGTTCAACCTCAGCGGTTTTAAAAGTTTGCAACAAATTCAGATGGAGTTTTTAATCATTTTCATTAAAATGCTGTGTATCTATATACTTTTGACTTCCACCAATTTGTTGATTTCCAGGAGAGTCTGTGTTTGCGCGCTGTTTGTCATCCCTGAAGGAGGAGAGGGTGGCAGCCAGTAAAGTACTGAAGGGACCAGCCTCCACCAAATATACTGGAGACAAGAGAGAGTTTGTGAATCACATCAGAAAAGTGAGTTCATGAAAGGATCAGGGTTCAAATACTAAGATAACTTCAAAATACTAATTCTTTTACTGTATCTTACATTGGAGATCACAACATTTTGACCATATCATGACATCCTCCTCAGGTGAGATGGTTTTGAGTTGTCAACAGTGTCATATGGTTTGGTCTTCAAAAACTTTTTTTTTTTTTTTTTTT